ACCTTTGGTGTTTAGACTGATAAAAATCATCCATTAAGAAATTCTGCATTCTGGCCAGGCATGATGGCCTTTAATCCCAGCACTTGGGAGGCAGAGGCAGGTGGATCTCTGTGAGTTCAAGGCCAGCCTGGTCTACATAGTGAGTTCCAGGACAGCTGGGGCTACAGGGAGACACTGTCTCAAAAAAAAAGAAAAAGAAAAAGAAAAAGAAATTCTGCATTCTCAAGCTGGGTGTGGCAGCACGTGCCTTTAATTCCAGTACCCGGAGGGGCAGGTGGATCTACATAGAGAGCTCCAGGCCTGAGAAACCCTGTCTCAAAAAAGACAGACAAAAAAGAAAAAGAAAATTCTGCATTCTCAGTAAACCAGTGACTGACTGACATCTAATTCTCAGTAAATTACTCTCAACATATAGCAAAGGTATGCTAACTCAAAGTACGAGTAATTTGATAATGAAGTAACTTTTCAAATAGATGGAGTGGATGGTAGTTAAGAAAGTGAAGGTTACATGTTTTGATATAAACTTTGTACTTACCCAAAGGTTTTCTGGACCACACAATTCCATCTGGCAACAGTTTTTCTTGTTCAAAGTTGCTTTCTACCACTTGGGGAATTTTCATTTTCAGCATCAATGAAAAACAAATCTACCATGCTCCACTGCACATCAGAGTAACCAATGTAAAAAAAATGTTATCATTAAAAATTGGAAACTATCTCCATAATTAAGTGGTTATGGGAAAACCTCATAATGTTCAGAGGCTATAACAGTTTAAGGAAAATAAAAGAAAACATTAACTAATTTTTTGAAACCATCAAAATGGTTTGGATTTAGCTCCAATTTTTTAGGAAGACTGGCCAAAAAAAATTCATCCAGTGGAAACTTAAAAGAAAATATGTAATTATTAATTTTTATTACACTCCAAGAACATCAGCTAGGAAGAAGAAAACAGGTTACCATTTACAAGTACTTCTGTAGATTATACAGACACCTACAATGCAGGTTTTGAACCCCAGAAAACAAACCAGGGCTCAAATTAACAGCATTAAAAAGATAAACAATCTCCAAGACCTCGGAAGTCAGAGGATTTCTTATGTGTAAATACACACTCAGAAAGCACTAACCTGATAAGATTTTAATAACCCCTAAGTGATTGTAGTTATATTTACCTGATAAGATATAGTTAAGTGAAATGAATACATTAGATGATATAAATTCCTAAAACAAATAAAAAAATAGGCTAATTCCACAGCAGCTGAAGAGAACAAATAAATTACTTAAAAAAAAAACTACCAAAAGAACGCCACATCCAAACAGTTTAACAGCAAAGGAAAAGAACAAATCTTCTCCCTCATTTCATTTTTTGAAATCATTACAGTGTAATGTCAAACTCAGACAAAGTCAATATAAAAAAGAGAAAGTATAGATCAACTCATGTGTGATAATAAATGTAAAAGGTACTGAATTGAATATTCCCAGCTTGAATATAATTAAAAGACTTGTTTTAAAAATACATGGTTACTTTAATGTTGGGAAAATATTAATTCAGTTTATTGAAAAATGAAGGAAAAATTATTTGATCAGCTTAACAATACATATAGAAAAAGTATTCAATAAAAATAAACAATTCATGGTTAAAAAAAAATAAGTAAGCCAGAAATAGTAGAGAACACCATGCACTATATAAAGTCTACAAGAAACCTATGGGATCAAGCCTCCTCTGCTAGCTAGTATGAACCAGCCCACCATGTTCCCATCAGTTCTCCTTGGGCTTTGGCCCTATCCCACTGAAACTGCCTGAGAGGGCCTCAATAGCCTGGATAGACACTATTATAGAATTCCAAAACTGGTCAAACACATAAAATAAGTGTCTGTGAGACACTTAATCCTAAGAGACACATCTTCAATGCAGCCTCTACATATAGGATAAATGCACCTCTCAATTCCCACCAGAAAAGTTTCCTTACGCAGCAGAAGGTGATTAACACAGAAACCCACAGTTGGCCAATGTCCAGAAAACAAAAGGCTGCAGCCTTCTTATCCCTGAATAAGGCACCTATTTCAAACCTGTGCCTCCCAAGACTCAGGGATCATTGCAGAAGAAGAGGTGGAAAAATTGTTAAGAGCCAGAGGGGTTAGATGACCACAAGGAAACAGTCTTCCAGACAGCTGGCCAGTTACACTATGAACTCACATCAATGGTGACAGCATGTACCAGTCCTATGCACATTCAAACCAGACAAAATCCCAGCATAGACATGGGGAAGTAGAAGAAATCCCAACTCAATCTAAGAAACTTTTGGTAAGTGATAGCTGCTGAGAGGGGAGAAAATAGTGTCTCACAGGGATGGGACTCCTGGTGGGCCCAGTGGATAGAACACACTGAAGGGCATTTGGGGACAAATCAGATTCTGTATCATAGGTATATTAAATTGGGTGGGGGCAGTGGGGGGAGGTGCAGATAGGGGAGGGAATCTAAATATCATCAAATTATATTGTATGAAGATCACAAAGAGTCAATAAAAAAAGAAAAGAAGAAACCTGTGGCAAATATGCCCAATGGTAAAGCATTAAGATTCTCTGTACAGTTACAGTTATTACTACTGCAAAAGATACCTGTAACCTCCATTTCAACACTTACTGGAGGTTTTGGCCAGTATATATGAATTCACAGACACACAATACATAGATGAATTGGCAAAGAAGCAATAAAATGACACTACCTTATTACTGACATCAACTGTTCACAGAAACTTCTAAAAATTCATATTTTGAACTATTAAAGAGTTTGAGTTTAGAAAGGTTTTTCTGTAATAGATCATTTATATAAAAGACTCCTAACATTTGAATATGCCATCAATTATGTCAGAAAAGGTATTATTTTCTGTTAAAAATCAAGGAATGAGTTAAATTATAATTAAATTATGAAGAACTACAATTCTCAATTGCTGTCTCAACCTAAACAGTTCTATAGAACCAATGCTTATTTCTAAATTTGTATGGAAAAGAAAGGATCATGAATAGCCAAGGAACTGCTGAAGACAAAGTCGTGGAGGATGAAAGGGCTGGAAACTTCATCTACTAGATATTAAAATAGAAATTTACAAGACTATCAGTGTGCTTCCAGAATAAAAATTCTGAAAGGGATACACATGTTCAAGGACACCTGGCATACTCCACAGAGAGCAATGCATATCAGCAGGGAAAGGATGCATGATCCAGCAAAAGTGTAAAGACACTGATGAAGTAAAATTCTAAATCTCCCCCATATATAAAGTGCCAGATATTCAAGCTTCTAAAAGAAAATATATGGAACTATGTTAATAATCTCAGAGTTGGGATATATCACTTTTTTTAAAAAATTGCAGAGAGACATCTGGGTACACTAACCGGACTTGATAGACCTTAACATATATGACAGGATGCATGAAATCCAGTGGGGTGGGTGACTATTGGAGGGTACAGATAGGGGAAGGGGTATAAAGATGATTAAGATGTTTTGTATGAAATGCACAAAAATTCAATTAAAAATACATTTAAAAATCCATATTTACAAAGGAATTAATTATGAAGAAAAATTGTAAATTTTAAAATTAAGCACCTTCGGCCACAAAAATCATACCATAAAGAAATTGAAATAACAAGCCAAAAACTGAGGAAAAATATTTTCAACATATATCTAATAAATAAGTAATATCCAGAATACTGACTGCCTAAAGAATGCTCATAAATCAATTATCAAAAGACAACCTAGGGCCTAGTCCTATAATCTACCTACTCTGGAAGTTGAGGAAGAGAATGAGAAATTCAAGGCCTACCTAAGCTACAGAGTGAGATCAAGGTCACACTGGAAAATAATAAGACCCTAGCTAAAGAACTGAAAATAAAAGAAAAAAAGGGTTAAGATACATAGCTCAGGGGTAGAGTACTTGGCTAACATGTACAAGACCCTGGCTTCAATTCCCAGTATGGGGGTGCGGGTAGGGGATGGGAAAGAAAGAAACATGAAAAACCCAACAGAAACAAGGACAAAGAAAAAAGAAATTTCGTGTAAGAGGGAGAATAAATTCCTCATAAATATATGGAAAGACAAGTCTTTGGAAAGGAGGAAAATACAAATTCAAAGTCTAATGAGGTACTCAAGCACTCCCTAGGTAAAACACGTAGCAAAGGAGATTTTCATATGGTTAATGAGAGCATAAATTAGTTAACACTATTCTGGAAAACATTTAGCATTTGTAAAGTTATATATAGTCCCAGTACTTGGCAGAGTAAGACAGGAGGACTGCCACAGGTTGAAGGCCATTTAGGAAAACCCTGTCTCAATAAATAAAAATATAAATAAAGCGAAAATCATACAACTTCTAAAATTAATTCCTGTCCAGAACATAAACATTCTTTTCATGGACTTTTTATCTTTTGATAAATTCACTAATAAATATCAGTATTATCCTTTGCAAAAGCCAGAGATAAAACACATCTTCAGGTCAGTTTCAGAGGAAGTATGAATATTGTTTTTTCAATCTGACAAGCATATGTACTTTAATCATCAAAGATTATATCAAATATTTACAAAAGAAAATCCTTTCTAAAGATTATTCAACTTAATCAGGATTAAAAGGAAATAAAACTTTTATCCTTATCAGCCTCAAATGAAATAACCTGAGTTTTAATATCTTAATCAGAAAATACACAGAAGGGAACAATAATATTAAGAGAGTCTGATGTCCTGTGGTCTTCCTTAATAACAATCCATTTTCAAGAGACTATAATCTACTCAACAGAAAGCCCTCTACCAAAGAGCTGGATTCTGAGAAAATTCATCCTCAAAATAAACAACATGCCACTAAAACCAAAACAATGCAGGCATTAGCGCTCACAAAGGCTCTGTGTGGTGAGTCATTTCTAAAAGGATGAAAGGATGAGTCTCTGAAGTGTTTTCTATTCAAGCTGGAGAATGTATAAAGGTAGGGAATCCTTGAGCAATTGGTCGAGTGAGAAATTTTTCACTTCTACACTCCTGTTTGACTTTTCGCAAGCTCAGAATGGGAAAGATGAGTCTCTCCTCCTACATATTAATACTGACTTTTTCTTTGTTTTCTCAAGGTATTTCACTTTCGGCTTCCAAGTCCATAAGAAACTTAGAAGATGACATGGTCTTTAATACATTTAGGATGGGAAAAGCCTTTCAGAAAGAAGATACTGCAGAAAGATCAGTCGTTGCTCCTTCCCTGGAACAATATAAAACCGATGACAACAGTTTCACGAATGACGACGAAAACAAAAACTCGAAGGTAAGTGGCATGTAGCATATCTTTTATTGAAATGGAAATATAAATGACTTATAAAATCTAATACAAAATTGATATTTTTATAAATAAAAATGCATGCAAATATAGTCCCAATATGCATTAAGATATATAACACAGGATTCCCCATCCTAAAGAAGGGATCTTATCTAAAAAGGTTGTTTCTCCCAATAAACTTGTACCTGTTATTTTTAGAGGCAAAAACAGTACAGAGCATCTTTAAATTGATCATTAAGGATGTTAGACGATTATATGATAGCTCTATTCTGAAGAAGACAGCTAAAATACAAATTAACCTTCTCTTTACAGAACACAGGCTCCAAACATAATTTCATAAATCATGGTCTGCCACTGAACCTGGCTATCAAACCTTATCTTGCACTGAAAGGATCAGTAGCTTTTCCAGCTGAGAATGGAGTTCAGAATACTGAATTAACACAAGAAAAGAGAGAAATTGGGGATGAAGAAAACTCAGCTAAATTTCCAATAGGAAGGAGAGATTTTGACAGTGAGTAGCCTTTTTAATATTCACTTCTTACATAAAAAGAGCTCTGAGCTTAACTGATTTGGATCTTATAAAAAAAATCAAATAAGACCATGGTTCAAATCCACTAGATAGTAAATGACCCCTGTCGAAATGTAAAATTAAAAATAATCTAGTAATTGTAATTTTGGTCCATTCAGAATTAGTTATAATAATAGGTCTATGTTTTTTTTTTAATTTTTTATACATGCCAGGTCATTTCCCCATCCTAAAGAAGGGATCCTACCTAAAAAGGTTGTTTCTTCACATAAACGTGTATCTAAGTTATTTTTAAAGTCAAAAACAGTATAGAGAATCTTAGAATTGATCGGTAAGGCTGTGTTATAGTTCTTTAAACAAGTCAATCTTTTTTTTCCCTTTCAGTGCTCAGGTGTATGCTGGGAAGAGTCTACCGACCTTGTTGGCAAGTCTGATGCCTGTTGGTCCACATCATCTTTTCAGAAGATAAAAAACAATTAATTGCAACTGGAGAGAAAAGCCCTTAATGTTAATATAACTTGTTTATTATTCTAAATGTCTGTTGTAAAGGAAACTAGTATTAAGATATGTCATGACCTAAATGATATGCTTTGTTTTGTGCATTAAACTTTGTGAAAATTCTGCATAATTATGACTTACTGGTCATTTTTGAACAATGGTTAACATGTGAGTCTTACATATACTTCTCAAAATAACAAAGTATCAAAATGTACATCTTGATCTTTGAAAACTTGGCTTTGTTGAATCATTTTATACATACATAAATCTAAAGTATATAGAAAACAAAATCATAGCCTAAAAAACTGAGTTAACTTGGTCTGGCCTGCAATCAGTTTGTCCTTGGCAGTACACCTACTGCCTTTTTCCACTTTGGTTAGTTTGCTACCTAATTTCTTCTGTGAATCGTTTGAGGTTTTAGGTATCTTAATATTTTTACGCTGACCTAGTACACTTCCATCATCACAGTGAATATTTTCTCTGTCCAGATCTACCTGTTTCCTTTTTGAGCTTTTATTTACTGTATGACTACTTGATTTTCTTGATAGTCTGTTAATCTCACTTTGGTCCAAATGCACATTTTCAGAGCTTGTGTCAACTTTTGTTCTTCCAACAGATGAATGTGTACCTTCTGCTATGAAAGAAGGAAAGGAGAAAAAAGTCATCTAACTTTGGTATTATAAATCATGAGAACTTTAAAATAAATCTGAAACAGCTAACCAATATTTAAAATAAAGAATATTTAAAAACTCATTTATAATAAAATAATGCTAAATAATCAATGTTAATAAATAGCTATATTATCACATTAGTTTTCATTTGATCATGCCACCTCTCATCTTTCCAAGGAGGATTTAGTTAAAAATATGGCAGGAAAGTTCTATAAATTATTTTTTAAGTCCACTTAGATTATATCTTATTTATATCTGTAAATTTGTACTTAGATTCAATTTCTTAAATAAATCTAGGCCTTAAAAAAGTAAGCCTTTACAGTTCTTAGCTCTTTGCAAAAATAATGCCGTTTTGCTTAAGTTAAAATCAAAAGGTAGACTATTATTAAATTGTTATTTAATTGTTCAAATAAGGGGCTGGAGATATGGCTCAGCGGCTAAGAATGCTGGTTGTTCTTGCAGGAGACCCAGGTTCGAATCCCAGCACCCACATGGCAGCTAACAACTGTCCATAACTCCAGTCCCAGGGGATCCGACAGTCTCTTCTGTCCTCCGCAGGCATTGCATGACATGGGTGCACTTACCTACATGCAAGCAATACACACATACACATAAAATAAAAATAATATATAAAAAATTTTTAAAACTGTTCAAATAAGGTCAATTACCGGAGAGGTCACTTTCCAAGTAAAGAGCACACAATGGCTTTGAGGATGAATTGGCATTCCATTTTCCCTTGCCCATCACACAGTCATCTTTATAAGTACAAGCAAACTGTGATCTGATTAAGGTTTGTTTCATCTGATAATAAAATGAAGGAAGAAAATATGTAACTTTTACTTTGCCTTATTTTTCTTTTAGTCATATACACACTCTCTAGTAATCGACACATGTAAAACCTGTCCTTATACATCCCATTACTTATGGGAACTCCTAACCATATTTTGTTTCCATTTTCAAATGTACTCATTACTATCATCTTAGTTCTTTTCAGCAAAACTAGCTTTCTGCATACATTTCATATTTTACTCAATTCTGGACTCTTCAGGGGCTTCACACCACATTCCTTTGGGCTACTTTGGAATATTATCGTAACTGAAGTGATAATATATGAGGAGAAGCGATGGCTAAAAAAACTCAAAAAACAGAAACAACAACAACCAAAAACACATGAAATCATAGACCTGGGGATTTCAGTTGATCATAAACTTGAGTGAAGTGAAGCGTGTGGTGTCTAGCTACAGAGCAGTAAAACAAGCTGGGGGAGACCTGGTTTCCAACAGTGGCTCTATTTCCTGTTAACAAGATACTCTTTTTAAAATATCTTACTTCTATTTCTCTCTCTCGCTCTCACTCTTGCTCTCTCTCGCTCTTGCTTTGTGTGTGTGTGTGTGTCTGTGTGTGTGTGTATACATGCATGTGTGTGTGCACACCTGTAGAGGTCAGAGAACAACCTATAGAAGTTAATTCTCTCCTACCACACAGGTCCTTAGAATGGAATTCAGGTTCTGGGCTCCATAGCAAGCACCTTTACCGACTGTACCATCTCATCAGCCCCCTTATTAATTAGATAATCTTGAATAAACCATTAAACTTCTTACACATCCACATATAAGTGAAATAACATTTACTTCACAAAATTGTTAGAATTGTAAAAGTAAAAACAATATAAGCATGCTATATAAACTCTCGAGATCTAATTTAGACACTGTTTAGTCATTGTAACATAGATGAAGTGGGTATTCCTATAAAATAAGTTCTGCTACATTACATTTCTCTTGTCTAGTCAAATTTACAATGATTCTAGGAATACAGCTCAAAACAAGGACCTTATAATCAACCACCTTCTTCATTTTAATTATTAAAACAACAAAAACTACACTGGCTTGTATTCATAACCTGAAAGAGAATGCTTTTCCTTTGTTTATAAAAGTTGAATTTTTCTGCATAAGATTAGTGATTACATAGAACTGAGATTGCTTCCAGTTGCCAGTCTTCCAAATCTCTCCGTGTATTTGATTTGGAATCACAAATAAGCAAAACAATTCCCTCTTGAAAGTGCTTTTGAAGTACTAAACAACTTGGAGTGATGTCCAAATTCATACAATGGCTGCTGGAATCATTTTATGTCAAGTCACATGGGAGAAATGGATTGAAAGTTTTCTCTTGTGGAGTGATTTCCCTCCTTTGGAAAGATTTCCATGCACAGTAAAATTGCAATGAACTTCAGACTCGCCAAGAATTGGAAAAGTCCTTTGCCACAACTCTTTTTAAGTTGAAATTATTAGGAGGGTCCCAGTTTAAGGAAAATAGTACTTCACATAGGAAAGCCTGACTCGAGTTAAATTGAGATGAATGAGTCAAAACATTGAAAAGTCATAGACACCCTGAGTTAGCTATATTAAGAAAACGAAAGTTTTCAGCTTCCATGACACTATTAACAAGTTGAAAACATGAAAATATTCTTAAAATACTTAGTAACAATGTAACTAAAATTAAATATTTTAAATTTATCTTTTTATTCTTACATGATCACATTTCCAGAGGAATAGAGATTTGGTGGCCTTCATGTACTAAGAATTTGTACATATATCAAATAATCCTTTTTTTCCCCACTATGTAGCCCTTTGGCTGACCTGGAACTCACTATGTAGACCACCAGGCTGGCCTCCAGTCCACAAAGATCTGCCTTCCTCTGTCTCCTGAGTGCTAGGATTAAAGGCATGTACCACTATGCCTGTCCAAATAATTTCTTTGTCAGAGAAATTCCATTTACATAGCTAAACAGCAGGAAGAAACTGATCTAAGTAGCAACATTATATTTTTATAGATTTTTATGACCAACTTTATTTACTCTTTGGAGAGATATTAAACTTTGAAGTCTAGAAACTAAATATAAACCCTTGCACTGCTACTTAACAGCTATCGTAGCTTACTATATGGTCTGGAAAATTATGCATTCTAGAATTAAGGATTAATTAGAAAGGGAAAGACAAAATGTCCAATGTACATATGTGACATTTTTAGTAGGTACTTAAAAATGCCAACCCCATATCTTCAGTCAAAAAAGAACTCAAATTTTAGTTTAGTCTAATACAAATATTTGTTTTCCATTCTAATGAAAAAAATGCTTCCCACTTCCTTAAAGTCTTTCCCTAATGTCATCTTCTCAAGGAGATTTAGAAGTCTATTTAAAAACCAAAACATATAAAAGGAACGTCTTCTTCTTAGCCCTCTCCCCAGATTAATTTTCTCCATAGCACTGATAACTTTCTAACATATAATATCATATAATCCATTTGTGTGTCTTGACTCATTCATCTTCTAAAATACAAACTCCATAAACAGTGACAACCCTTAGAGATTTGTAACTAGTGTCCTGCTCTGGTTCTCCATTCCCCACAGGATGAGGGGACCATAAAGCCAAAGATATGCCCCCCAGTGGACCATGACCCTCTTCCCCAACCCTCAGATCCTATTGCAGCTTTTTGTGATCCTTGAGCACTAAACTGGCGCTGGCCTCCACCTGGACTTAAATAAGGCTATTTATATTATGGCAAGGAGAATAGGAGATAGTTTTGTATGTGCCTCTTGATAGAGTGTCCCTCACAATATGAAACAAGATCTGGGTTGAAGTAGGTGGGATATAGGTGTTAGCTAAAACTAGGGGCTCCCTTTTATATTTTTGTACCTTAGCTGCACAAATTCGTGGGGAAGCTTTGTCAATTAGAGCAGAGTGTTTTGTCTGCCTGTCCATCAATGTATTTGCAGTGCAATGGACAAAACCTAGTATCCAAATATCTGATTGTTAAAGGAATTACTGAAGTAAAACTAAACATCTATGATATGTGTATATAAGAAGTTATTAGGGAGCAGAAAACAAGAGTACAGAGGATTCAGTCTGCCTCTTTCAGGGGTTCTCACACCATGCTCTCTGACCTCCAACCCTACTTCATTTCCAAATATGGCAAAATCTACAAAAGGGAGACCAACTATGCATTTAGGCAAGGCCCACACATCAGGTGGAGGCTTGTCTTCTAAATGCCACAAGACTAACCAAAGATAATTCTAGTTTACTCTATTGAAGCTATTTCCACATAGTGACAAAATTTGCATGTGTCTTTGGTACAAAAAAAAAAAAAGTCCTGCTGCAGATTTAGGTCTCCTGGAGTTTTCCAGTGGTCGCCAGCCTCTCAAGATTCACAAGGTTTCACTGCTTTCTTTTTTCCTTCGATAGAGTCCCTTCATGTGGGCCAATATCAGCCTTCAGCTTACATCCCAAACCGGCAGACACTACCAAGAAAGAAAGTAGTCAACAATAGATGGCTTGTCTCAGAAGGACTTTATCCCCAACGGATTTTCAGTTCATTTAAACTCCTGTTTACACAGCTCTACTGTGTCTTTAAAATATGTTTCTCCCAACTTATCTGCCTTTTACAATTTTGTCATTGAAACAGAAGTGCTGCTCGTGACCTACTACACCATAGCTAGAAACAGAAGTCTCCAAGTCCATGACTGATTACTTGATTCGAGTCCCTCCTTATTCGAAAGCATTTTCCTTCTCCTTAGAGTTATAAGCTGAAGGCTGCTTCTTTTCTAGGCCTCGTTTTTCTCACTTTCTCTATTCCTCATTCCAACGGAATGGTGGAGGCAGAAGCAGACCTCGTTGGAGGTGATGTCTGAAAAGGTTTCTGGTTTCTGCATTCCCTTCTGGGGAATTATTATGTATTATGTATGCTATTTGAAGGCTTGCTTTATCTAGGAAGGGGCTGTCTTTCATTCTAATTAGAGGCTCATTTGAATAAGAGCCTCAATTCAGGATGGAACACTAGAGCCTTCTTGTCTCTCAGTGGATCCGTCTCCGAGTTCGCTTTCCATATTACAATCTACTTACTGCTTTTATTGTTTCTCTGAAAAATAAGGAAAAAAAATATGAACACACATTGCTTGGCTTCTTGGTTTGGGAGATACTGATGAAAATCCTCAGAATTCTGCTGATTCATTAATTTTCGTGAGGACCAGGACTAGATGAAGTTGCTAAGTCGGGCTGAGCTCCCGCCCACTGAGCTTTTCTCCTAGGTTTTGTATCTTGTTCTTTGTTGTTTGTTGGCGGTGATTATTTTTGTTTGTTTGTATATGTGGAGATATGTGTATGCCTGGTATATACATGAATGGGTAGATACAGATGCCCTCGCCCATGCATGTACCCGTGGAAACCAGAGGTTGAAACCAGGATGTCTTCATCAATCACTTCATCACCTTAATTTCTGAGACGGAGTCTCCATTAAACCTGGAGATCCTCATTACAGCTAGACTAGCTGACCAGTGAGTACCAGGATCAGCCTGCCCATGCCTGCCTCCAGCTCTCAGTGCTATGGTCATAGACACAAGCCACTATGCCCAGCTTCCACATGGTTTCTGGAAATCTCTGAACTCAAGTCCTTATGCTCGCATAGCAAACACTTTGTCCACTGAACCATCTCACCAGCCCTATTTTTTGTTAGCGTTCATTATTTGTAAATTCATTTTAGGTAGAAGGGGAAGAGAAATTTTGAGTGTTAAACTCAATGTATCTATTTAATTTGGATATGCTTGAGAGTTTTCTAATTCTCAGGTTAAATCTGGTTATCTAAGAAAGAATTTCCTAACACCACAGGCTGCCAGGCTGTTTAAGAAGGCAACAGAGTTAGAGCAAGGATAACTTTCTTAAACTACCTAATACTGTCCCTACTACTCCTTGTTTTAAGAATCCCATATTTGGGGGGCTGGAGAGATGGCTCAGCAGTTAAGAGCACTGGCTGTACTTGCAGAAGACCTGGGTTCGAATCCTAGCATTCACATGGTGACTAACAACCATCTGTAATTCCTGTTTCAGGGGCTCCAATGTTCTCTTCTGTCCTCCATGGGCACTGCATGACACAGGTGTACTTACATACATGCAGGCATAACATTCATGCACATAAAATAATAAATAAATAAATAAACTTTTAAAGAATCTCATATTTTCTGAATCACCTCATTTACATTATTGAGTAAATAAACATATAACAGAGATTCAGTGATATGGAAAAACACTAGAGGCACAATAAAAAAAACAAACATGTATATGACTTTTCATTTGTGCCAGATATGCAGAGTGGTGGTGATAGTCCTAAAAGGAAGGAATAAAACTAACAATTCACAGTTTTATAGATATAAAATAAGGAGGTCAAGAGTGCCCTTTAAAATCTTTTCATTTTGTTTCTTAACTAATTTATTTAATTTTATTTTATGTGCATGAGTGTTTTGCCTACATGTAAGCACACCCATGTCATGCAATGCCCATGGAAGCCAGAAGAGGGCTTGGATCACCTAGAACTGGTGTTATGGACTGTTGCTAGCCACCATGTGGATGCTGAAAACTGAATTCAGGTGCTCTACAAAAGCAGATAATGCTCTTAACCACTGAACCATCTTTCCAGGTCCCCTTAAACATATTTTAATTAAAAACTTATACAGATATTTTAATAAGTTATTTAAAGTAGTTTGAAAGTGATTGTATGGAACTGGGAGAAAATGTTCTCCAAAGGTTTGTATCGAAACCTTGCAAGTTTAGTAAAAACACTCTGGTTTCCTTCACAGGGGAATTTATTTGACTACAATAAATAAGTTTCCCAATAAACTACAATGTGAAATAAAAGCTGAGGGCCTAAAATAAGTACACTAAAGAAGTTTCCATGGTGTTTTCACAGGATTTTGTGACTAGAGTAAGAATTTGTATTTGTAGATAAGGAAACTATTGATTTGGACACGTGACAATCAAGTATACCAAAACTCTAAATCCTTAAATATTTTCTTCTTTTGAAATGTTCTAAGCATTTCAAGTGTAGAACATATATAACTTCCACAGCAAAGAAAACAAAAACAGACAAACAAAAAACATGGAACTCCAAGCCAAAAGACCGAAAGTAATGAGCTATAAGTAGCTAACCAACTTTGTTTTGTTTTGTTGTTATTTCTAGCAAGTGCTCTACCTGGCTGTGATTCAGTTATATGCCTGGCTAAACTGATGACTTTCCCATTTTGCTTTTCAAAATCTACTATAAACATAATTATAAATACCAATTATTTCTCTATTTTTTTCTTTTTTTTTAGTCTTTTTGAGACAGGGTCTCCCTGTAGCCCCAGCTGTCCTGGAACTCACTATGTAGACCAGACCAGCCTTGAACTCAGAGACCTGTCTGCCTCTGCCTCCTGAGTATTTTATTTATTATTTTCATTTTATGTGTATGCGTGTATTGCCTGCATGTAGGTAAGTGCACCTGTGTCATGCAATGCCCACAGAGGACAGAAGAGGCTGTTGGATCCCCTGGGACTGGAGTTGAAGACAGTTGTTAGCTGCCATGTGGGTGCTGGGATTCGAACCCAGGTCTCCGGCAAGAACAGCCAGTGTTCTTAACTGCTGAGCCATCTCTCCAGCCTCTATTTCTCTATTTTCATTATGTTTCAGAGCTGTCCAGTCTTGGCTACTCTTCTGTTTAACAGAAGTAAAGTCAACACAGTCTCATTAGTGCTTATCTATGTCTTTGCAAACTGTGATGGTATTTCATGGTGATTATAAGATCTTGGACATCTTTCTAAAAATTTGCTTCTACCCATATAAATAAGACTAAATTAGAAAACCCCTTCCAGTTCTCTAGACTATGAATTTGCATACATTTTATAGTAATTGGTTGACCCTTTAGAATTTCTAAAATAAACTTCTCATTCTTCATGATTTCTTTTTCATTTTGATTCAACTAGTTATATGAAAGCATCTGAGTTTTCTTTAAATCAAAATATTAAAATTTATCAGCATCTACAGCAGAACAAAAATAGAATTTACAAACCACATTTGTTTCTATCAAGTCCCAAGAAGAGATGGTTTTTTGAAAAACATTATCCATTGACTGCAAGTACTCATACAACAGAATTGATGAATTTTAAATTTGTCTGTTTATTTTTATTGTATGTGTAAGAATGTTTTGCCTACATGTACAGTGCATTGCCACAGAGGCCAGAAGAGGACATCGGATTCCCTGGAACTTCAGTTAAGGATAGTTGTTAGCTGCAAGGTGAGTGCTGGGAACTGGACCTGTGTCCTCTGTAAGAGCAGCCAGTGCTCTTAACCACTAAGCCATCTCTCCAGCCCAAAGCCGACAAATTTTATTCACAGAAAAATAAAAAGAGGGCTGAATGACATATTATACAACCATTAATTACTAATAACTAATATGTCACTGAGCCCTGAAGCAATAATGCAAATCATAGGGACAGACCCCCACACACACACAGATCCTAATCACCTTCTGAAGGTCTTTCCTCTTAATACTTATTTCTTTCATTGTTCAGCTCCAGCAGATTAAATAACTAGAAGCAGATTGGTCAAGGTTATGCAAAAGCTAAGTTTCTCTAGTCAATACTCACTAATAAGTAAACACAAATTATAGCTATCTTTTTGTTATATTAAAATGAATAATTATTTGATAAAAGTTTGATGTAAGACATTAACAAATTAATGAATTCCAACATACAGTAGATACAGAATAAAAGCATGTTCTTTTAAAACAAAAGAGGAAGAAAATTTTAAATGTTTGAATAAACACATTATCAATCATTAAGTTTCACTCAAAGATCGGAAACCTACTTCAAACTAAGTGAAAACATAAGGACCACTGAAGAACAGTGCGAAGGCTCCCTCACCCAAGGCCACATGAAGCACATCCTATCAACATGTTTCCAAATTTTATATGACATCATACTATAAATTGGATTCAGAACATCATAAAGGCTTTTCCCTTTACAAGTCAATTATCTCCATATCTGTTGTAGTGAAGGGAAGCTGGAAAATGGAGTCTCTATTCCTTTTAAGATATTAGAAATACAAATAAGGCCCCATCTTCTTTATTTCCCCTTGTATTCATTCAACAGACATTTATTCAATATTTACAATAGAAACTGCTTATTTCTTTCCATTGTTTTGCAGATTAAATAACTAGAAACAGATTGGTCAAGGTTATGCAAAATCTAAGTTTCTCTACATCAGCTGCCATTACTCCTTTTCCTTTTCTCATTATAGTTATAAATGTTGCATATTTACCATACCTAGCCCAGCTTTATATATTTATTATTTCAAAAATAAAACAATATCTTTCATTTTATGATAAGCATTAAAGTATACCTTAAATTTTTCCTCTTGCATTGACTTATGGATGCGTTCTCTTAGCGGTTTAATTGGTGCATTGGTCACTTGTGTGGGAGACCTATGTCAAAAAAAAAGGGGGGCAAAAATATATTGACAGAGTTTGAATGTTTGTGTCCTTCCAAAAATTATGTTGTCATTTAATCCCCAATGCAACAGTATTAAGAGGAAAGACCTTCAGAAGGTGATTAGGATCTGTGGGGTCTGTCCCTATGATTTGCATCATTGCCTGAGAGACTGAGAGGGCTTGTTTGGCCATTTCTGTTCTTTCAGAGCTGCCTTATGAAAGATGAATTGTAGGAGCCATCCTTGAGGAACAGCCTTGAACTTACAGAAGGCAATGAATCTCCTGACAACTTGATCTTGCATTTCTAGTCTTCAGAACCACAAGAAATGAGTTTGTTATTTATAAATTACCCAATCTAAAATATCTTGCAATGACCCAAATAAACTAATACACTTGCAGGCCTGCATGGCTTTTAAACTAGCTCCTCCCTCTTCCCTACCCATAAGCCTATTTATAAATGAGAGAACTGAAATTGTGTGTTCATAATAATTTATAATGTTATCAATATTTCTACACTGAGTCCTAAATATAATTTGCTTAATTATTTCAATAACTAAATATTTCTTATTTGGTTTTGTTCTGTTTTACTAGTTTTCTGAGACAAGGTTCCACCATGGAACACTGTCTGGCTTGGAACTTGCCAGATCCTCCTGCTCTGCCTCCTGAGTGCTAGAATTAATAGGCATTTCCCACCACTCCTGGTCCTAACTAAACATTTTTGAACTTCTATACTGTAAAGCACTATTTAAGACATTTAAAAGGATAAAAAATTCATTCATTTGTTTGTTTAATATTGAGGCACTGTACTGAGGTCTAAACACAGGAAATAACACAACTAATGTAATCAAAATCCAAAATTATAGAGAAATTCAAAAGAAAAGCATATAAGAATAGAGAGGTCAAAGAAAGCACAGTAAAGAAGATCCTAGACTTCTGTCAGATCAGCCTGTATTCCTGAATAAATTAATCCTCTTTTGCCTTAATATAGTCAGACTCTGATCTCTGACTTAAAATATCACTTTATAAAAATAAAGGAGAGGGGTTGGCGAGATGGCTCTGCAGTTAAAAACACTGGCTTCTCATATTAGTCACTTTTCCTGTTGCCGTGATAGAAACACTGACCCAAGCAATTTATAGAAGGAAGAGTTTATTTGAACTACAGTTCCAGGGGAATTACAGTCCATCATGGCAGGGAGGCATGGTGGCTGGAGGTGGCTGGAGCAGGGGCAGCAGAAGCTAAGCTCTCACATCATCATGCAGGCACAGGAATCCACAGAGCAACTGGAGATCTGGCAAAGCTTAAGAATTCTCTAAGCCCACCCCCAGTGACATGTTTCCTCCAGGATAGCCACACCTTCTAAGACCTCCCAAAACAGAACCATCATGTGGGGACAAAATGTCCAAATGCTTGGAGCCTATGGGGACATTTTCATTCAAAGCATCACACTTCTTTTGCAGAGAACCCAGGTTCGAGTCCAAGCACCCACACAGTGGCTAACATCCACCTGAAACTCCTGTTCCAGAAACCCAATGTCCTCTTCTGGCCTCCATGGGCATTGCATGCATGCAGTGTGCTTACATACATGCAGACAAAACATGTATATACTAACCCACCCTCAGAAAAAAATAGTTGATAATTTATATTGAATTAAATTTACGCATCACAATGCCCTCAATTCTATTATTTTGGTGCAGACGAGTGAAACACTGCTTTAGCACTGATGGTCAGTACAGTGACAATTGGAAATGCTAATGTGGAATCCAAAGTGCAAACAGTGAGTAGTGTTTGGAGACATGAAGTACAGAAAAATTTCCATTTAAAATGGACTCAGGAGTTACCTTTGTGTAAATAAATCCTACAAACAGAACACCTTCTCTAAGAAAATGATAGAATTTGATCTAAGAAAAAATTAAAGTCATCTGTACTTCTACCTAAAAGTAATTTTTTTTTTTCAACAAAAAAAGGTAACAGGAGGAAAAAAAAAGGTTTCAACCCTGAGGTTCCAGCACAAGAGGGAAACTGAAAATTTTTCACTGCCAAGAAGCTACTTGGGCATTTTGAGGCAGAATGTGGAAGAATTGTATCATTCCCAGATACAAAGGAATAGTCACAAAGAGTGCAGATGAGACTTAAAGGAATCAATTGACAGCACACGTTACTCCGAATTCTCTCGGGAAAGAAGAGAAAGGATATGGGGCGAGAGAAGAAAGCCCGTGAAGCAGTCACGTGTGGACACGTGCACTTTAGACTGAGACCAGATTTCTAAAAACTGCAAAGATCAAACAGTATTTTGTGAATTTTTCTATAATGTATTAAAAATACATTTAATACATTATAATGTATTAAAAATACAAAACAAAACAAACAAATAAAATAATTATTCCAAAATCATTAATAATGCTAAAAGTCAGTGTTCAGTTAATTTAAAAAAAATCACCAATTTACTAAATCCCAGACTAATTTTTGTTAAAACTGGAAAGTATCTGCCATAGACTGAAAAGTATTCTAACACACATGTGCATATATAAACACATCTACATGGTGAAATTTTAACCAAC